CACAGGTGCTTTAGCACAGATATAAACTGTCGACAACCAGGCAGTATGATCCCTGACAACTTAGGAGTGAAAGGAGCTGGTGGGGCTCACTTTTGGCCTCTGCCATCTGTTTGGTTTCATGCATCCCTACAATGCCCAACCAACCCATCCTGGGATTAATACCCCTCAGCGTTCTGCTGCTTATAGTATCTCTTCCCACCAGGCTAACCACAGCAGCTTTCATTTTTCCAAAATCATTTCTTTGTGTTAAATATTAATAGCTACTTGAGAGAAAAAAATTTTAAATGACAGACACCAACCAAAATTTAGAAGAGGGGCAGTCTCTTCAAACCAGGCCCCAGAGATGGCTTTTGAAAACATGTTTCAACTGTTTCAAAATATATAACATACAAATACATGCATATTTTTGTTACTTATTTTGACAGAAATGTGATTATATGTAGTTCCCATTCTTGCTTTTCTTCATTTAACAATGTACCTTGCAGATCTATGTTTAGCACATATACAATTACACAGCTAAATTACTTAGTGGGTGTTTGAAATGCTTATAATTTGTCAGAATGGCAATGAACATTCTGCACTTACATCTTATGTATTTATATAAGTATTCTGTAAGATAATTTCATACCAGTGGGAATTTTGGGTAGAAGGAAGTTTATTTTAATACTGGGAATGGGACCCAGGGCCTCTTGCATGCTAGGCCAGTGCTCTATCACTGAACCACATCCCCAGTGATTGATTGATTGATTGATTGATTGATTTTTGACAGGGTCTTGCTATGTAGTCCAGGCTGCCCTTGAACTCACTTGTAACCCAGGCTGGCTCCAAACTCATGGCACTCCTGCCTCAGCCTCCTAAATGCTGGAATTACAGGTGCATGCTGCATGCCTAGGCCCCAGTCCTTTTTATTTTTGAGACACAGTTTCACTAAGAAATGCAGGCTGGCCTCATGCTTCAGCCTCCTGAGAAGCTGAGATTACAAGTATGCTCCACCATCCCCAGCTAAGATTATGTAATTTTAAACAGATATTACTAAAATGTCCTCTGAGATGGACAGTGATGTACATCTGTAATCCCAGGTACTCTGGATGTTGATACAAGAGGACCGGCAGATGATGCCAGCCTGAAAAAGAAAGAGACCCACCTCTCTCTCTCTCTCTCTCTCTCTCTCTCTCTCTCTCTCTCACACACACACACACACACACACACACACACACGGGCCTTTAAAAATCTTTTACTAACACAATCTGTGTACTGTGGACAGCAGACTACCCTCCCATCCTGGACCTCACTGGCTTTTTTTTTTTTTTTTTGCGGAACCGGGGATTGAACTCAGGCCCTTGCGCTTGCCAGGGAAGTGCTTATTCCACTGAGCCATCTCCCCAGCCCCTCACTGGCTTTCTTATCGAGCAATTGTTCCTCTCTGATCCAGCTTTGTAGCCCTCAAGGGGCCTCTGGACAAGGGGCTTTGGACTTCATATGCTTGCTTTTCATCTGCTCTAAGGCTCCATGTGTAATACATTCCTTTCAGGGAGGAATGATGAAAGGTCCTGCTGCCCAAAGAAGGGTGAAGACATGCCATGCTACAAAATGGTCTGGGTGCTAAAGCCTCCTCCTTTCCAAGCTCAGCTCCCTCTTCCCCACAGTGACTTAGTCTAGAGAGCCCTCAAACATCTACTTGCCATCTCTTCCTCAGCTAGAGGGCATGCCCACCCACCTCATTGGGCAAGCTTGAAGGCTGTCTTCCCGGACTCACTCCTGTGTGACACCCCATCTCCCAGCTGTGAATCCTGTCAAGTCCACCTTCCCAAATCCCTCCAGAGCACCCACTGCTACTGCTTTCCTGGACAACCAATTCTTGCCTCTGAACTCCTCTGCCCCACTCACTTTTAGAAACCCAAGTTTGAACAAGTCACTATACTTCTTGAAAATTCCACATGGCCCTTCACCACTAGACAACACCTGCTGGGAAAATTCAAATCAATGCCACCCACTAGTGTCTCCAAACTCCCTAGGCTCAAGGTCTCCTTCCAAGGACCCCGAATGTCATTTTTCCCTGGCTGCAGTAACACGTGGACTAGCCTGGACCCTGCTGTGGTGGGCCCCACAGGCGTCCTCTGCTGCAGCAGGCCTCAGCTGGGTGACGGCCACAGATCCACACCAACCTTGTGTGGGTAGGACAATGACACAATGACACCCTGTTCCCATGGAGGAGGTCTTGCTGACCTCCTGCAATAGGAGGAGGATGTGCTACAGCAGCCTGGCCAGG